GTAGAGTCAGGGAGAGAGACAAGGGAGAGACAGAGACAGACGGAGAGAGACAGAGACGGAGGCAGAGGGAGAGAGACAGATGGTCTGTCTGTCTCTCTCCCCATGTCTCTCTCCCTCTTTTTCTCCCCCTCTCTCCATCTGTCTCTCTCTGTGTCTCTATCTCTGTCCCTGTGTCTTTCTCCCTTTTTCTCGCCCTCCCTTTCTCTCCCTGTTTCTCTCTTTCTCCATGTGGAGACAGACAGAGAGAGGGAGAGACAGAGAGAGATGCAGATGGAGAGAGAGAGATGGGGAGAGACAGAGACAGATGGAAGGAGAGACATGGAGGGAGAGAGATGAAGAGAGACATCAGGAGAGAGATGGAGACAGTTAGAGGGAGGGAGACAGACAGAGAGACCATCTGTTTCTCTCCCTCTTTCCCCCCCCCCACCTACATCTGTCTCTCTTCAGGTCTCTCTCCCTTTCTTCCTCTGGAGAGAGAGACAGAGACAGATGGAGAGAAAGAGGGAGTGAGAGAGACAGATGAGGGACAGTGACAGAGGGAGAGGCAGAGAGAGAGAATTGCAGAGAAGGATGGAGAGAGACAGCAGGAGACAGGAGAGAGAGAGTGACAGAAGGAGAGAGACAGAGATAGAGAAGTAGAGATAGATGGAGAGAAATTGATGGAGAGAGAAAGAGCTGGGGAGAGACAGATGGAAAGACAGAGAGAGGGGTGGAGAGAGATACAAAGAGCCAAATGGAGAGAGTGTACACGGAGAGAGGGAGAGAGACAGACGGGGACACAGAGACCGATGGGGAGAGCAAGGCGGACAGGGAGAGGGAGAGAGGGAGAGACAGAGGGAGAGAGACACAGAGAGACAGAGGGAAGGGGAGAGAGACAGTGAGAGGCTGCGGGAGAGAGACAGATGGGGAGAGAAACAGGGAGAGAGAGGGGAGAGACAGGTGGAGACAGGTGGAGAAAAGGAGAAAGACACTAGAGAGACAGAGGGAGAGAGAATCAGAGGGAGAAAGACAGGAGCGAAGGAGAGACAAATGGAGACAGCGAGAGACAGAGAGACAGCAAGAGACGGGCAGACAGGGTGAGGGGCAGGAGGAGAGACAGGGAGACGGGGAGAGACACTGATGGGGGGGGGGAGAGCTCGGGGCAGATGCAGAGGCGAGAGGGGCACAGATGGAGCACGGGGAGCAGCTGCAGAGAGGAGAGAAAGGGGGGAGGATGGAGGAGGCAGGAGGGAGGGGGAGGCGTGGGAGGGGGAGGGGGGAGACAGCCTTGGAGAAGGGGGGAGACTGGGGACCAGGAGAGGGGAGGAAGGCGGGGAGAGGAGGCACGGCCAGCGGAAAGGAAAGAGGACGAGGGGGAGCGAGCGAGGCCAGGAGGAGGAGAGGCCGCGAGTGCGTCTGTGCGTCTGTGCGGGTCCAGGGGAGAGACTGATGAAGGCAGCAGCGAGAGTAGGGGCGAGGGAGAGGGAGGGAGGGGTGGGGAGAGCTGAGAGGGAGAGGGGGCAGAGGAAAGGAGGGACAGGGAGGGGAGGCAGAGACGGGGAGGCAGAGACGGGAGAGCCTGAGGGGAGAGGGGTAGAGACTCAGCAGGACCGAGGGGTGGGGCGGGGGAGGGGTGGGGCGGGGGAGGGGTGCCCAGCGGGGTGGGGGGTGGGGAGTGGCGTGGGAGCAGAGAGAGGAGGGAGGCGGGGCGGGAGGAGAGGTGCAGAGAGAGAGAGATCCTGAGACGAGAGGTGGAGTCGTGGGGAGACCGCAGGAGGAGAAAGCGGGCCCAGGGGTGACAGCAGCAGGACAGAAAAGACCAGGCGAGAGTTTGACGCCTTTATGGGGCGGGGCCAGAGCCCGGGGCGGGGCCAGAGCCAGGGCGGGGCCGCCCGCAAGTCCTGGACGCATGCGCGGGCCAGGAAGGGACCCGTGAGCCGCGCACATGTACCCCCACTCCTCTACCCTCACTCTGCGCACACAGACACCGCCAACCCGGGCCCCAGGCCCAGCGTGTACGGCGCAGATGGGACCCCGGAGCAGGAGCGACGGGAAGCCCGAGAGGGTCAGGCGCGGTCTCTCGGGCGTGGTTGGTCGCATCCGCCCAGCAGGGGCCGCGGGGGGGCCGCACACGATCCCCCAGAGTCCGCAGACCAGACCAGACCCCGCTACGGCCCAGGGAAGAAAAATGCCATGAATCCGTTTTCCTAGTTCTCGTTCTTGCCCGAAAAGCAGAAACCAACACTGCGGAGACCCGCGCCCCCCACTTCGCCCCCGGGTGGCCCAGGAGACCAGGGCACTAGCCAAGCCCTGGCTCGGGCCGGGGAGACCAGTGAGGGGCGCAGACGGCCCTCCAGGCGGCCCCCCCACCCCGCCCATGGGGGCCAGAGGTGCCGAGTCTCAGGGAGAGCCCCAGGAAGACTCAGAGCACCTCTCCCTGCCCTGGGAGGAGCTCAGAGAACATTCCAGACTCTGCGCACAAAGCAGGGGGCACCGCACAAAGCAGGGGGCACCGGAAGGGAAGGGCAGGAAGGGTGGGGGTGGAGCTGGGCGGGAGGGAAGGGCAGGAAGGGTGGGGGTGGAGCTGGGCGGAGGGAACTGACCGCAGTGTGTGTACACACACACACACACACACACACACACGCACCCGACCCCACCCCCACTTCGTCAGATAGGGGAACTAACCATTCAGAATAGGTGGCAATTAAACACACCCCTGATCAGCAGCCATAGGAGACATCAGAAAGCAGTTTGAGAAAAGTTAAAATAATCCCACCCCCCACCATGTGTGGGGTGTGTCAGAATTGATCTAAGAAGCGAGTGTACAACCAATGCTGCCTACAGTCAGAAAACACTAGACTCTCTACTGGCTTTATACTTAAAGGGTTTACAAAGAGGAAGAACTGAGTCAGTTAGCAGGACAGAAATATTACAGGACTAATCATGGAAAAAAGGCTCTAAAGAAAGCAGTCTGAAAAGTTAAACTGAGCTCTTTTAAGGTAACAAAATGGACAACCATTTTAGAGTTGACTCACCAGGAAGTAAAGAGAAGTCAGACAACTGTAAAGGCCTTCAAGAGCCCAATATACATAACTGGGCACGAACACAGGATACATTCTTACAAACATAAAAACTTCCTAGACTGAATGATAAAATAGAAAATCTGGACAAGCCAATAATTAATGAAAACTGTAAAATCTGAGACAGAAAATCCATGATGGACTCATAATACTCAGGAAGGGGGACCGGCTGGAAGACACTGAACCCTACGCTCCTGGGGGGAAGAGTGTGGGGTCCGGGCAGCAGTGTGTGGGTGCATGAGGGAAGGTGACACGGGACCTTTCAGCAAGAAAAGCCCCAGGGGAGTTGCCCAACACCGCACCTCAGGCAGCCAGAAGAGGAGCCAGGCCTCAGGGTCCTAGACAGGAAAGCATAAGAGCTGTAAAGGCCACCAGGAAAGTCAGTGATACTGACAGTTGGTTCTTCAAGAAGTGAAACCAATGCTTAAACCTTCATCTGGGGCACTGGAACAAGAACAGACACACAGATCAATGGAATCTAATAGAAAACCCAGAAATAAACCCACAGATTTATGGACATCTAATCATTGACAAAGGAGCATAGAATATGCAACAGAACAAAAAGTTTGTTCAATAAACGGTGCTGGGAAATCTGGGCTGCTACAGCTGAAAAAATGAAGCTGGACTACTGCCTCACACCGTGCACAAAACTAACTCAAAACTAACACAAACTAGTTCAAAATCAAAGAACTAGACATAAAACCTGAAACCAGGGCCTCCCTGGTGGCACAAGGGGTTAAGATGCAGCACCACGGATGAGGCAACCTGCCACCTCTGCAGCACAAATTCATCCCCAGTCAGGGAGCCACCCGCAGGGCCCAGCAGACCTCTCTTGACTCCCCGCTCCTCCCCTCAGCAGTGGGTTTCAGTGGATCCACCTATCCTGCTCCCCACTCTGTTTCTGGTGGGTCCTCTCACACCCCGCATCTCTGGCCTGAACCCCAGCTCTATGTATGTGTAAATAAATAAATCTTAAAAAAAAAAAAACCTGAAACTATAAAAGATACAGAAGAAAATAAGGCGAAACCCTACATGATACACACCTCAGTAACATCTTTAAAGACACATCCCCCAAAGCAAAGCTAGTGAAGGAAAGGCTAAACAGCTGGAACAACATCAAATTGAAGCACTTCTGTACAGCCAAAGAGACACAAACCAGAAAAAGAGCCCACTGATGCGGAGAAACTTTTTACACACAACTAATGATAAGGGACTAATCACAAAGATCTACAAATTGCTGAGGAGACTCAATCAAGAAAAACAAAGCAAACAACCCAGTCAAAAAATGGGCAGAAGAGCTAAGAAGACAGTTGTCCAAAAAGGAAATGCAAACGGCCAACAGGCTTATGAAAAAATGTTCAGCATCACTTGCTATCAGGGAAATGCAAATCAAAACTACCATGAGATGCCATCTGACACACCGGTGAGAATGGCACATATTTAAAAAACTAGCAACAACGAATGTTGGGAGGATGTGGAGAACAAGGAACTCTCCTGCACGCGGGCCCAACCACGATGGAGAGCATGTGGAGGTCCCTCAGACTACTGAAAATGGAGCTTCCTTAGAATCCAGCAATTCCACTCCTAGGGATCTACCCTAAGGACACATAAAACATGAATTCACAAAGGACACCTGCACCCCTCTGTTTACTGCAGCACTATTTAGGTAAGCTATGGAAACCCAAATGCCCAAAAGAGAGGACTGATCAAGAAGAGGTCAAATACACGATGGATTTTCCCTTGTAACTGTAGGTTTATCGTGTATTAATCAGCTGAAAACATTGGTTTACATTAAACCCATCACTGCTACTGTCTCCACCTTAGCTGTGACTGACTTGCTTCACACTATGAGGGGCTCAACCTAGTTTTCAGTTCTTTCAACTGATGTTTCCAGCATGTTTCTTGGACCTGGTGGGGGCGGGGGGGGGGGGGGGGGGAGAGACAGACAGGGAAGGGGGAGACACAGGAAGGAAGAGTGAACATTACTGAGTTACACCACTAAGGGGAGCAGTGGGCAAGAGGAGGGGCCCACTGCACCTTACTGTGGGTTGGCTCCCTGGGCTGGGTATTGAACTCAGGCCGTAGCAGCAACGGTACCACCGTAGCACTGAGCCTTAACCCGCCAGGCCACTGGGGAGGCCCGTCTCACTACCTGGCTTCTAAGGCTACTAGTACTTCTCTGAAGGAGCACGTCTGCTTTGGCAATGGTGCGGTGATGAGAACGCCTCCTAAACTCGGCATCTGCAGGTGTAGCCCATGTCCTGAGAGGGCAGTGAGGGGTAAACTATGCGGTCTAGGTACCTGCTCATTGGGAGCCTGCACTCAAGTGGGCCTCAAGTTTACAGTCAGGGTGGCCCGTCCCCGCTGACGATGCACTGCGGCTCCCATCTGGAGGCGCCGACTCACGCGTATAGCCAGGAACGGCCGTACAGTCTTCCTTCTGCGGCAGGGCCTGGAGACGAGAGTGGACACCTTGCAGAGGACCACACGGAAAGTCTTCTGCAGCTCCACGATGCCAAGATTGCGCAGTTAAGAAGCTACTGTGAGGTTCGCAGGGAGCTCTTTGAAGGCCTCCAGACGTGGGAAGAAAGCTGGAGGCTCTTCCTAGAGTTTGAGGTACCGCCTGGTCCATCTCGCCTTGGCCAAGAATTCCAAAGACATTCACTCAGGTCCATGCCATCCTGACGTAGCCGCAGCCAGAAGGGCCCTTCAGGGAATCCTCGTGCAAGTCCTCCCCATCTGTGAAGGAAAGATTGAAAGACACAATGTGATAGTTCTGTTTTTCCCCAAAACACTTTTTGGTTGGTTTGGTACCCCGCCCTCGCCTGGGCGGCCTCACATGGATGGCTGGTGGACCCCCCCCCCCCCCGGGAGACAGGTGAGAGGAGAGACAGGTGAGAGGAGAGAAAGTGGAGAGAGGAGAGACAGGGGAGAGGAGAGACAGGAGAGAGGAGAGACAGAGAGGAGGGAGGAGAGACAGGAGAGATAGGAAAGTGGAGAGATGAGAGAAGGGAGAGGAGAGACAGGAGAAGAGAGGAGAGATAGAGGAGAGAGGAGAGACTAGAGAGAGGGGAGCGGAGAGAAAGGAGAGGAGACAGGAGAGGCGAGGAGAGAGAAGAGAGATGGGAGAGGAGATGGATGGCGAGAGGAGCGCGGGCGAGACAGGAGAGGAGAAAGATGGCGACAGCGCGGACAGTAGAAGGGAGGAGAAAGCAGAGGCACATCAACTAGACAGGAGAGAGGGGGAGCAGAGATGTCTCTCCTCTCTTGTGCCAGTTGTCTCCGCGGAGGAGGAGAGAGGACCGACGTGAGAGATGTGAGGGAGACGGGAGTGAGGAGACAAGGATGAGAGAACAGGAGAGAAAATCTCTCTCCCTCCTGCCTCATCTCCTCTTAAGTTCTCTCCCTCTCTGTCTCATCTGTCTCAGGAGAAGAGGAGAGACGAAGGAGAGGAGAGAAAGGAGCAAGGAGAGACGGGAGAGAGGTGAGGGACAGAGGGGGGAGGGGAGGGGACTAGAGAAGGGAAGGGGAGGAGGAGACGCCAGGGAGGAGTTGACAGGGAAAGGAGCGCCCGGGGAGGAGAGCGAGGGCTAAAGAACAGAGCCGGGGCAGAGAAGCTCAGAGACACACTGAGGAGACGGCTTGTGGCTGGGAGGAGAGAGGAGCTGGGACCGCGGTGGGGACGCGGGAGTTTGAGGAGAGACGGCTGGAGAGGAAGGGACGCGAGCCAGAGCCGTGGCAGGCAGAGAAGTGAGAACCGGAGCGGAGAGGAGAGGACGGCAAATAACAGGAGGTGAGGAGGGGAGAGGAGGAGAGAGGAGCGGAGGGGAGGGGAGAGGAGGGGAGGGGAGAGGAGGGGAGGGGAGGGGAGGGGAGAGGAGGGAAGGGGAAGAGAGGGGAGAGGAGGGGAGGGGGGGAGGGGAGGTCGAGGCAGCACCAGCAAGGGGACGAGATGGCGCAGAGTGTTCCCGGGCAGCGGCGCAGGCAGTGGCCTCAGGCAGTGGCCTCTGGCGTAGAAACAGGCGCAGAGGAGAGAGCCGGACAGCCGGCTGAGACAGAGGTAGAGACAGCAAGGAGAGGGGAGGGTCTGGAAGGCGGCAGGGAGAAGGGGAAGGCAGGGTGGAGAGAAGGGCCGGCGGCAGAGAGGAAGGCGGGAAGGCGAGAGGTGGAGGGAGCGAGCGGAGACGGGCTCTGGGGCGCTGGAGCCACAGGCTGGGTGAGGACACTGAGGTGGAGGGAGACAGAAGGGGGGCGGGGCGGGAGGGGGCCCAGGAGGGAGCGTGGGGCTGAGGTGGAGGGAGGAGAGAGCCGGACAAAGCCCTGGAGCGAGCCAGTGAGAAACAGAATGAGGCGGCAGGGCAGAGAAGCCCGCGAGGGGAGGGAGGAGACCGTGGGGCTGGGGCGAGGCGGGGAGGAGCGGCCTGGGGAAGCTGGGGGAGAGACGACCCAGGCGGAGGCAGACGGGGAGCCGGAGAGCCGGGAGGAGAGCGGGGCGGTGGAGAACAGCAGGGGGTGGCGATCCCGCCCGGCCAGGAGGGGCACAGCCCGCGGCGTGGAGAAAGGGTGGGGAGAGACGGAGAGGCAAGCAGAGGCGGGAAGGGAGCGATCACACAGAAAGGGGACAGAGGCGACGAGACCCCGACCCAGGGGCCGGGGCTGGACGTCAGGAGGCGGGAGGCGCCGGCCGAGAGGGGCAGGCGCGGGCCGGAGACGGGGCAGGGGAGGGCAGGGCAGGGCGAGGGCGCAGAGCTCCACAGCACGGACGGCGAGGAGACAGACACTGCGGAGAGGGAGCGGGACGCGCGGGGCAGAGACCGCAGGGAGGAGCGCGGCGGAGGGACGGCGAGGAGCAGAGCAGCAGGAGCGGGCGGGGGAGCTGGAGCGGCAGCAAGGGGCCCATGGAGGGAGAAGGGGGAGCGAGGCGGCCAGGAGACCGCAGAGGCAGAGCGAGGAGAGGGGGAGAGAGAGGCCAGCGTGGTTTGGAGCTAGACCCGGGTAGAGAAAGAGGCGGCCGGGAGAGCACTGGAAGGAAGCGCCAAGCCAGGGAGTAGAAGCGGAGGGACGCGGGACTGGGAGCAGGAGAACAGGAGAGACAGGCCAGGGAGGGAGAGCGGCGGAGAGAGCGGCGAGAGAGGGCGGGACAGGGGCGATGGAAAGAGCCGGCAGTAGCGCTGGGCAGGTACAGTGTGTGGAGGGACATCAGACCCGAGGCGGGCAGAGGCCGTGGAGAAAGCGAGTGGGGGGCGCAGAGAGTAGGGAGAGCGCGGAGGGAAAGAGTCGGGAGAAGGTGGTGGGGAGAAGCAGGGGGCGCTGCAGAGAGCCGGTGAGAAAGCAGAGGAGCACAGACGGCACCGGGAGGCTGAGACGAGGAGCGGGAGACACGACTGGAGCGGGAGACAGGACAGGCGGCCAGAGAGGGGAGTGGAGACAGGCAGGGCCGGGGCCTGTGCGTGTGGAGGGAGGAGAGAGGAGCTGGAGAGCGCGGGGTGGCGCGGGAGTGGGGCGGAGAGGAGGGGAGAGAGGCCGGGAGAGAGTGGAGGGAGCCGGTCAAGAGGGGGCGGGAGAGATGGAGGAGAGAGTAAGGGGGGCGAGCAGGGACAGACAGCAGCGAGGGGCAGGGACCGAGCGGTGAGGGGCAGGGACAGACGGCAGCGAGGGGCAGGCAGGTGAGTGGCAGGGAGGAGGGGGAGAGACTGCAGACGCGGCTGCCCGGCTGAGGAGGGCAGCGCTGAAGAGAACAGGAGCGGCGCGAGGGCAGGTGAGGAGAACCACAGGGAGAGACCCGGCAAGGGCAGGGGGAGGGGGACAAGCGAGGAGGGGAGACAGCCTGGAGAGGAGAGGCTGTAACGGGAGAGAGGACAGCACAGAAGGAAAGGCCTGGAGAAGGGAGGAGCGGAGAGTCGTGGAGGACAGAGAGTGAGCAGAGACGGCGAGGGCTGAGCGGCAGCAGGGGGACGGGGAGGAAGACGCGTCAAGGGAGGAGGAGCAGGGACAGAGAGGGACAGTGGGGGAGAGACGGAGTCGGGAGCGGAGCGAGGACAGCGAGCAGGGCCACAGACCTGGAGAGGAGGAGGAGGAAGGGGAGGAGAGGGAGGGAGGGAGAGAGAGCAACAGGAGCCAGAGCAGGTAGGGAGAGAAGCCAGAGAGCGCGACAAGGAAGAGAAGGCAAGGGGAGGGGGGATGGAGGGAGGCAGCACAGACAGACACAGCGTGGAGATGGACAGAGAGGGGCGTGGAGATGGACAGAGCAAAGTGAGATAACAGAAGAGTAGGGAGAGTGCAAGGTGCAAGGACAGAGACAGCCAGGTGATGGAGGGAGAGCAGAGAGAGAGAGAGAAGAGACAGCGACAGATGGAAGAAGATAAGGAGGTGCAGGAGTGATGATGCGGGGAGAGAGGTGGGGAGAGACATGGGGATAGCAAGGAGTGTGCAGAGATGGAACGAGAGGTTGATGGCGCCAGGAGAGAGTGTGTTCCAAGGTAGAGACACAAAAGGAGAGATGGAGACAGGAGGAGACACGAAGAAGTACTGTTAGGGGGAAAAGGATGTCCCAAAGCTATTTCCATATAGGCTTTGTGGACTTCACCCCCACCCCAGGTCAAAGCCGAAGACACTGGGAACTTCAAATTCCATTACCACCAAAGGGAAGGTGGCTGGGACCTGAGATGAGACCCTGGAGAGGGAGAGAGGACAGGAGAGAGTTGGGGGCTGGAGAGAGAAAGGGAGAGAGTTGGGGGCTAGAGAGAGGGGGGAGGGAGGGCAGGGGGACAGCAAGGAGAGAGGGAGACAGACAGAGTGACAGCAGCAGGGCGAGTGTTAGCAAGAAGCAGCAAAAAACAAACCCACATGTCTTTGGACAATTTCTTTATTTCAAAGACCAGACACGGAGAATCGAGCGGCTCTTCTGCAGCCGGAACCTGCAAGGAATGACGTCAGGCCACTGTCCACGTGATTCCATCATCCACAGAAATCAGTGCAAAATGGATTCAAGAGTGGCAATGGAAGAGCCCACGCCACCTCACCAAGGGAAACACAGGCAGTATTTTTCTATTCATGGACCTCTCAGATATCTTTGGGAGGGTCAATGAGAAAGTGGACACAGTCTGTACAACGCGTGCAAGAACAAATACGTGATCACATCAAATCACCAACGTCCGCACGGCCTAGGAGCCTACGCCTGTTCAGACCCCAGGTCCAGCAAGGATTGATATCCACACCTGTCAGCACCAGCCACAGCTGGGGGGCACCGCCGAGAAGGGACACATGTCCTGTCCATGGGAATGGAAACGGATCCAGAAAATGGTAAGAAGAAAAAATTTAAGAAAAAATCCACGATCCACTTCTCCTAGTCCTGAGCAGATGCAAGACACCCACCCCCAAGGCCAAGGGCCCATGCGGACCTGCACAGGTGACCCAGACGCCAGCAGGGAAGTTCTGGCAGATCCAGAACAGCGGGGTGCACCCATAAAAGAAGCCAGGGCAACAGAGGCCAAGATAAAGCCCATCTCTAGGCCGTCCAAACAGTGATATGGAACTAGAGATCAATAACAGGAGGAAATTGAAGATTTCAAATATTTAGAAATTAAACACACTCCCAAACAGTCCTCAAGCTAGACGTCAAAAAGTACTTTGAGAAATACTCAAACAACCGCCTGCAACATAGTGTTGGAGTGTCAGAACCGCAGAGGGAAGTTAGAGCCACGTGTGCTAGACCAAGAATAGAAATTAACAACCTGGGG